TATTGCTAAGTCTGTCTGATGCTCTCTCATCCCATGAATACATGGAGTATTCTTTGTGTTCCATTGCAGCCCCCATACGGGTGTTGCAAGGGCCATATCCCCCTGCATTAGACAATATAGTGACTGATTCTGTGTATCGTATTCATGGTTTACCCCAAAATTTCCCTAGTGTACTTTTCATGCCCATACCGTGTTATTGGGACCAAGATCATCACTGTTTTTTTTTTTCTTTTTCTTTTTTCTTTTTTTTTTTGCACAATTTCTATATAATTGGAAACCATTGCAAAAAATTACCAGTAAGATGGCTCTGTGAAACTGAAGTTATTTGTTACCAAGAGCAACGCACCCTCCAGAGACTCCACCCTCTGTCCAAAACCAGGATATCATGTGAACCCAAAAATCCAAACCTAACCTCTCCTACCTTGTATTTATTCCCTAGACAGGGGGGGGCAAGCCTCCCTGTACCCTCCTTTATTAGCATTTTGTGCCCTTATAGAAAACGGACATTACAAACTCTGGCTGTGACGGTGTTGTGGACTTCATCTCTGAGCAGTGATGTTCAGATAACATTTTCTTTGGTAATTCCTTACAGTACTGACATGTGTGAGGGTGTTGTGGACTTCATCTCTGAGCGGTCCTATTCAGGTAATATTTTCCTTGGTAATTCTTTACGGTACTGACACACTTGCCTGAGAGTAAGTCCCCAACTCTTCAAAAAATTTATTCATTAATCCAAGTTCCTGTGACTAGGCGTGCCACTGCCTGAGAGGAAAGCCCCCAACACCCCCTGCGAAACACTGTCTTCACCTCGCATGCCTGGCAAGATAGAGCTGAAAGTCGGGAGCACCAAGTGGACTTTTTCCTTTATTTGTGGCGTTACTGTTCGTGTCTGCAGATTATTTCTTGTACCAAAGACTGCAACTTTTTGTCCTCTACAAGAATATCATGTTCAATTTGCCCAGCGTTTGTGCATCCATACCCTGAAGATTAACCTTTTCTTTATTTTGCAATAAAAGAGGCCATTGCAGTTGTACCTCTTACATACCTCAAAACTTTGTTATTATCAAGTTGCAGAAGTAATACCATAGAAGAAAAGTTACTTATAAGCACTCGCTCTATCGTTTGCATATATTATTTTTCCTCTAAAAGGCAGCTGGCTGGAAATTTACCTGTACCTTAAATTCGTTCATTCTGGCCATCAAACGTAAAATTTTCCTTCTAATTCATGGATGTATGGAACTAAAATCATTCCATTATTTTTTACTATATTTCTTATGTTCTATCAGATGGCAGTGTCCATTTCCCCTTAGCTCCATGTGTTGCTCTCAGTAACAATCAAAACTTATACCAAACAGAAAAACTAAGAGAAAAACAGACTGTGGAGTTTGGTCTGCGCGGGAAACGCATTCCCCACGCTAAAATTATTTGGTCAAATTCTGTCCACACATATGTAGTTTTTGGGTAGATCTTTTTAAAATAATCTTCCGTGCATAATTTTTTTTTGACCTTTCCAAGCACTTGAAACCATAGATCAGCAAATATAGACAAAATGATGTTTTTCGCCCATGAAAAAATGTAATATTCCCCGTGCAAGAAAAATACTCTACAGTCTGGCATTTTCACTTTACATCAGACTAAAATCAATCGTTTTATGCCTTTGGAAGCAAAAGTACCTACCAACATATCTTTCCAGGAATTCTGTACATCGCTAAATCCTCAGATTCTTCAGAGGAAACATTCACACCTGACATATAGTAATAAACAAGAAATTTACCCCAATTTACACAATGAAATTAACCATGATTATACACAGTAATAAACAAGAAATTTACCAAGATTTACATACAGTAATAAATGAGAAATTGTAATTAATGAGAAATTTACCACAATTTACATACAGTAATAAACAAGAAATTTACCATGATCTACATACAGTGATAAACGAAAAATTCACCATGATTCACATACAGTAATAAATGAGAAATTTACCACAATTTACATACAGTAATAAACGAGAACTTTACCATGATCTACATACAGTAATAAACGAAATATTTACCACGATTTACTTAGTCATAAACAAGCAATTTAGCAAGATTTACATACAGTAATAAACGAGAAATTTACCTGCATTACACCAAGACACCTTCCCACGTACCTGAGTTCCCACCGCCTCCGCCCCTATCAAGCATCAAATCTATGTGAGAATGGAGTTTGTGGAGCACTGTATCATCCTCCACCATTGCCAAGGTCCCGTCACTAGTTCCATCCTCCTGGGGCTCGTAACTCGTCAGGTGATGCAACACACACTGGAGTTTGGTGTTGACCATGGTCTCTCTCTGGGACATCCTCCTGCGAGTTTATGAAGCTTCCCACAGCGAATTAATGGACTTCTGGGGCTATATGACTGCTGGTGTTGGCCCTAACCCTCTTATCTCTCTTTTCGCTGGAGGGTTTTCACTGACAGCTCTTTGGGAAGGAAAGGAGAAGTGTATTTCGTGGCTGTGCGTGGGACTTCTCATTCAAGATTCAAGGAGTTGGTTGTCACTGTCCCATAGTTCGTGGGGAAGTAGCTGTCGTGCGGAGGCTATCGTGTTGTCGTACTCTCTCTCACACTCTCACACTCTTACAGTGTGTGTGTGTGTATATATGTATATATCGTGTGTGTGTTGTGTGTGTTTTGTGTGTGTGTGTGTGTGTGTGGTGTGTGTGTGTGTGTGTGTGGTGTGTGTGTGTGTGTGTGTGTGTGTGTGTGTGTGTGTGTGTGTGTGTGTGTGTGTGTGGTGTGTGTGTGTGTGTGGTGATGTGTATATTATATATATATATAGTATAATATATATATATATATATATATGTAATATGTAATGTATGTATGTATGTATGTATGTATATGTATACCTATAGTATATGTATAGTATATATATATATATATATAATATATATAATAATGATATATAATATATATATATATAATATATTAATATATATATATATAATATATATAATAATATATAGTATACCCCTCCCTCCTCTCTCTCTTCTCCCTCTCTCTCATCTCTCATCTCTCTCTCTCTCTCCATGTTACCTGTCTGTATATCAGTTAGTCAGACAATAAGTCTGCCTGAATGGAATGTCTGTCTGTATGTCTCTTTCTGTCTGCCTGTCTGTCTATCACCCTATCTCCATTTTCTCTTTCTCTTTCTGTCACTGTCAGTCCTTTTAGTATGCCTGTGTGTTCTTTATATTGCTGTGTGTGTTTGTGTGCATGGTGGTGTACTGTGTGTGCGAGCGTGCGTGAGTACTCATGGTCTACGTAGACCTGTGCGTGTACAATGCGTACGCATACATTGTGTGTGTAGTGTGTGTGTGTTGTGTGTGTGTGTGTGTGTGTGTGTGATGATGTGAGTTTGAGTGTGGTGCGTATGTGTGAGTGTGTGTGTGTGTGTGTGTGTGTGTGGTTGTGTGTGTGTGTGTGAGTGTGTGTGTGTGCGGTGTAGTGGTGTGTGCGTGATTTGTTTTGAGATGAGTGTTATGAGCATTGTATGTATACATGACTGTATTTGAGCTATGCAATGTGGCTGTATATGCGTGTGCTGTTAGTGCGTCATTGCTTGAACACAAGTTACATTCTCTGAAAGGAAAGCGGAAAGCTTTTCAAAAGATCACAATCAGAATCCGCATTGATACGGAAAGATCCAGTTCTCTAGAAAATGTCACTGTTCACGCGCTGTCCATCTCTACGCGCTGCTCCCTCACCTAAATTCCCCCCCTCCCCTGAATGTAGCGTACACCTAATGTACAGTAAAGGATATAAATATAATAAATAAATATATAATATATATATGTATACTCCTATATATATATATATGGTAAATGATGAGTATACCCTATATCTATATACTATATATTATATTTATACTTTACTCGCTAATATTGTGTGGTGTGTGTGTGTGTGGTGTGTGTGTGTGCATATATATATATATATAATATATATATATATATTATATATTTATATATATATATATAATATATATACCATGTATATTATATATCTCATATACTTACATATATATATATTATATATAATATATATTAATATAAATATGTTTTGTGTGTGTATTATTTGTAAATGTATACCAAATTACATCAATACACTACACATATGTGTCATATATGTAATATGATATTATATAATTCTTCGTTCCTATATTATATATATACCTATCTTCATATATTTATATATGAGTGTGTGTGTGTGTGTGGTGACATATGTGTGTGTGTGTATATGTGATGTGTTGTACTATATGTGTGTGTGTATATGTGTGTGTGGGTGTGTGTGCTATGTGTGTGTGTGTGTGGTGTGTGTGTGTGTGTGTGTGTGTGTGTGTGTGTGTGTTGTGTGTGTGTGTGTGTGTGTGTGTGTTTGCGTGTGTGTGTGCGTGCGTGTGTGCGTTTGTGTGCGTGGCGTGCGTGCGTGCGTGCGTGCGTGTGTGTGGTGCGTGTGCGTGTGTGTGTGTGCTGTGACGTTATGTGTGTGTATGGTGTGTTTGCATATATAAGCAATTATGTATGTGTAAATTATAATTATATTTGATCTTATATAATGGACGATTATGTTTGTGTGTGCTAAATTCGCGAGTTTTGCAGCACCCACGTGCGAATCGCGTGCGGTGCGTGCGTTGCGTGTTGTGTTGTGTGGTGTGTGTTTCATGTGTGTGGTATGTGTGTTTTGCATATATAGCGCAATTATGTATGTATACACTATATATACTGATCTCTATATAATGGACGATGCATTTTTAGAGAAATTGATAAAAATTCGCGCCAGTTTTGGCAATCACCTTCAGATACTATTACTCGTATGCCTATGCTTATGTCTTTGGTAAACAAAAGATGAGTTGCAATTTCATGCTTGGTAAATTAAACCTATTTCACAATGTTATGCAACTGCTATACCACTTGACTTCCATACAAATGATTTTCTAAGATCCTCCTACACCACAATGAAGCGTTATTCAGTGAATTGCCAAGTTTTATGATATTAAACTTTTATGGAAGCACGTTGCCACCGTGTTCAAAGTTCGCAAAAAAATTTTTTAACTCTTCTTCAAGGTTGCTTGCGTCTCTAAAAAGGTTTTAACTACAAACTTACCCTCTTTACTCTCCGCTGTTCAGAAGTTGGTGAGAAATCTAATAGATAGAATTATACATAAGCAATATCTTGAAAAAAAATAACATTCAGTACTATTTTAGTTTTGGTATCCTTATCCTTATTGTTATTGTCATTATTATTGTTATTATTGTTATGTCGCTATCATTATAATTATCATTATCATTACCACAATTATCAACAATGTTATTATCATTAATATGACTATCATTATGATTATTATTAGTAGCATTATCATTATCATTATGATTGTCGTAGTTGTTTTTGTTATAATCATTATTATTACATAACTTTAATCATTATCATCATTATTACTGTTATTAGTAGCATTACTATTACTAGTAGTATCATTATCAGTTTTGGTTGCTTTTGTTATTGTTATCACTATTATTATTAGCATTACCACCGTTATCATTATTATTATCATTATCATTATTATTATCATTATCACTAATGTCACTTTTATCATTAGTACTATTTTCATTACTATTATTATTTATATCATTACAATAATTTTCCTTATTATTTTGTTATCATATTATTATTGTTATAGTAATAATAATAATGACAATAATCATTATTATCATTATCATCAGCATCATCATTATCATCATTAACATTATTATTAACATTGTCATCATCACCATTATCATGAGCATTACAATTCCGATATGGTACTAATAAACTATACCGATTTTCGATCCTGCTACGATATCTCAAATGAATTATTAACCAAGGAACGTATTAACTATAAAAGGACACACAACTTGGTATTAACGATCTCTAAATGGGTTGTTTAGACTTCTTGCTTAGTAATTTTTCTCCCATTTTTCTTCCTTATTTCGCGGTGACCATTATCGACGCCCACCGTTCGACCACGGTATTAAGGTGTCGAGAACTGGCCTCGAAAAGGTTAACAAATGGCTCGGGGGTCGATGAATAACAAGGCCACGGCAGAGCGAGAAACGACTGGAGTAAAGAGAATTCAAACTGATGTTTATAAATGGCCGGAGATAAGTGAAAAATAAGTATTTTGCAGGTTTTGTCTGTGTTTGGGAACTACTGAGGGTGCGTCCTCAACCAGGTGACATGTTGCTTGGAGACAAATTGGAAACATTGTGGGGGACGCAAAAGGACGCATTCGGATACGTATCTCCTGATATGAATGGGGACATATCTGTTACGATGTTGAGAGACATGTCGGCAATAAGAGTCGACTTGGTGAAACTGTCCACACCATGCTGGTTGGTGGGAGGTCTCTGACGGCATCACCTCGTCCACACATTGCCAACATGTCGCCCAACAAATCAGCACCAACATGTCTGTTACGATGTTCGTCAACGACTTAACTTTTTGCCCAATTTGTTAGTCTTAATGTTCCCAGCGTGTTTTCACTGGTGTGGACGCACCTTTTCACTGGGGTGGCACAGACAAACACACACGCTACTACACATTCTCTCAGCACATTTACTCAACCGCACTCAGTTAAAGTGTGTTTGGTAGTGTGTAAATGAGAGCATCACTAATTATTATATTTTTCGTATAATAACATGCATTTGTAACTCGTTTGGGATTCTACTTTCCCTTAAATACGTCTGTATATTGAGGTTATTATGTGTTTATGTGCAGACTTTAGCCTAATGCAAAGTCAGCATTAGGTGTATATTATCCGAAAGACAGAAAATGTAAATTACCGAAGAAACAAGTTGATCTCCCTTCTCGGACCTCCATCAATCAGCCTCAACGTTGAGACAGAATCTCAAACTTGGGAGGTATTTTGCACCAAAGCAGGCGGTCCTCCTCCGGCCTTAGTATTAACTTCTGCACTTGCTTCAACACTAGCTTCATTGTCGGCTTCACCACCTTCAGTGTCAGTTTTAGCACCTGCCTCAGTAGGTGTTTCAACATCGGTATTGATATCAGCACTTACTTCAGCGCTCCTAGTTCCAGACTCAGCACTTGTTCCAATACCTGCCGCAATTCCAGCATTTGCGCCTGCCTGTGTCAGCCCCAAGAACAGCTCCAAAACCAGCACTAATTAAAGAGATAAACACGATTTTTGCACCAAACCCTTAGACATTTTTATCTAGATATTACTTGACATAATGGTTATTTAATTTTAAACATCAGACTCAGTTATAGTTACCCTTTTAGTTGCAGGGGGTCAGTGTTCTCAACAATTGGGTAACTAAAGAATTGCACTATTTATTTGTTTGCAGAGAATGTCCTCGAAAGAAAGTGGGAGGGGGACAGAAGTTGGGTCCCGACCCCTCCGTTCTAGAATCGGGGGCGGTCGCCTCCCTGTCCCCTTTTTCTTACGCTTATACTGTAAAGGATAAAACAAATGTGCATGTTGTAGCAACAGTTTGCTTAGCAACTATAATTCCATAAAACACAAGGAGGCCAAGGGTTAGGCCAGTGATAAAACGTGACGAATTTACAAAATTCAGGACCAAAATTGGAAATCTTTTATATCTTTTATGATTTGATTATTTTCATCATTAACTTTCTGCTCTTTTTTAGTCTAGCTAAGGATGTTTTTGTTTCCCTCCAAATACTTATATATATATATATATATATATATATAATATATATATATATATATATTATATATATATATATATATATATATTTTATGTTGAAAAGGATCTTTTAATGGTGAATCTATATTGATTTGAAGATGTTGCTGAGCTAAGCCTGATAGTAACGTAACTCTTTGCTTCAACCCATACCTACAAGGGAGTACATGGTAGAAATAGCTGTACAATCAAAATAAACTTATTTTTTCTGAGAAGTCCATGTTTAAAAGGAGTGAGTACTGATCAGTATCTCTCAATGACTCCTTAAATGGGAATTGGATGCAGAATACCAATTTTCAAGGAGAGAGCCACGATGGCCCAAGTCTTCTTCGCCGCTTCTTAGGGATATATTATGGAGAATTTCGACAAAGTCTTCTCACGCCTTGTGGAATTGCCAATAGGGGTAGGCAGGTCTGTCAAAATGGAGCGACTTGCATTAACGATCATAGAATTTCTTGCACTTACAACGTCTGAAGATCTTTGTAACAGGTGTTTCAACACTCACCAAATCGCAGAGCTACTTCATATTCAAATGACCTTCATTGTTAAACAAGGAGACCACATGCACGCCTTATTCATGGACAAGACTTCGCTCTCGGCTGAAGGGGAGTCCCAGACCTTCTAAAAAGTTTAGATGGAACTTGGATGTTTGAAGTTAGGATAATTTGATTCCCGAGTGGCCCATAAGTTTTATAATCAAAGATGGGTTAAACCCCAGTCCAGTGTGGAGGTCAAAATAAGGAAAAGCTGTGTGAACAAAGACTGAATAAATCTTTGCTCCATGGGTGTCAAAATAAGGAAAAGGAAACCGGGTGAAGTTTAACATAGAAGTAGCTTAGAGGAAGGAAGGGACTTTTATGAAAAAAATGAGGTAGAAGTCGCGCCATGGATGAGGGAGACATAGAGAGTCACTAACAAAGAGAAATGAAGGTCACTTGATAAGGGAACGAGGTCAAAGTTGTCTAAAGGGATACCTTAGTCATTCTCAAAAAGTAGGGGAGCTGGTACAGTATTCTGCTACTTTAAAACTCCAACACTACTGGGAAACAATGCCACATGCATTCGAAAGATAAGAACCGAGTAGAATAAAAAAGAATGATAACCCAGAAAAAATACTTTTTTTATGCAGGCAGACTACAAATAATATTAGGAAAGGCGGAGAGAGAGAGGGTGGAGGTGGCAGATGCCGAAATCTTATCAATAAAAGGAAACTTTACACGATCATGCAACTCGAAATGAAAACGACTGACAAAAACAGCCTAATGACTACACCCCCCCCCCCACCACCACTCCTCCAGTTGTAATGGTAGATAAAAAAAGTACAAACACCAGAGTAGGTTCGAGGTAGCCAGTAGATGACTGGTCCCATTACAAAGTTCTGGGTAGATTCCGCGGTTATTTTCTTCCAGTCAGCCAGTTAAGAGGACCTCGCATTAAACTCACACAATTTCTTACCACAGTTGCCGCACCAAACGCACCCAGTGACCTTAATAAACACTGGATCGTCTCCAGTAGCAATACTGTATGAGAGGTGGAGTCACCAAGTCATTTTTCAGCGCTTAGAGATATGATCTTGACGATAATGATGGACATCACACACACAATGGTTTAGATGGATTTCAACCCACAGTAGATAAATATATCGAAATGTATGCGTTTGAGGCATCCTTAAAAAGGGGGTTTTCATTGACATAATTGAAATGCATATAAAAATATCGTGGCCATGCGGCGCATAAACAGACAGTACACCGGAAGGTTCTGAGAGATAAGTTATCACATGCAATCGGCATTCAATAAGATACCGGTTGTATGTTATCAGTTAACGAGCTCTTTCGATTGCACTTCATAAATATATTATCCATTTTACGCCCGCTTTCCTATGCTTCAAAGTCGCCGCTGATTCTGCTGTTATAAAAACCGATAAAATTTACCATTTACAATCGGGAAAATAATGTCTGCTTGTGTGATTCGTCTCCTCGTGAAAATTTGCAGAAAGAAATATTCATATTAAAACCCTCAACACGAATCCCACGGGGAATTCTGATGGTAAAAATGTGCAAAGTATATATATATATATATATATATATATATATATATATATATATATATATATGCTTTGGATATGTGTATATAACAAAATCTGTTCATACGAAGACGGAACCACACGAACCAGAAAAAAAGGCAGAAACAATGATAATAAATGCATGTGGAAACAGATAGCAGAGAATTTGTGGAGGCAGCGCGCTTGTATTTTTGTCCCAGTCCGTCAAAAGAAAAAAAAAAAAAGAAAAACAATAGAATTCATCTTTCAGTGTTAATTCTGGAAGAATGACAGGATAAAGATAGAGCTGGAGGAAATTAAAGATAAAAGCGAAAAATATGCAAGAAGAAGTAAAATTATAATATAAATAAATACATGACTAAACATATATACTAAGAAAACAAATGTTCTTCTTGGGAATAGACGAACTCTCTCTCTCTCTCTCTCTCTCTCTCTCTCTCTCTCTCTCTCTCTCTCTCTCTCTCTCTCTCTCTCTCTCTCTCTCTCTCTCTCTCTCTCTCTCTCTCTCTCTCTCTCTCTCTCTCTCTTCACACACACACACACACACACACACACACACACACACACACACACACACACACACACACACACACACACACACACACACACACACACACACACACACACACACACACACACACACACACACACACACACACACACACACACACACACACACACACACACACACATATTACAACACATACACACACACACACACACACACACACTCACACTAATGCACCATTTACTAAAAATGTACAATAATGTGCAATAACAGCGGTGTATAACAATTTTCTTCTCTGGATACGACATCAATTTCCAGAGACGTGTGTTCGCATGTAAACAAAGGGCGGGAAGGCAAGTGTCCCTGGTACGGGCTGCTGAGTTTGCTAAACTTATATTTACCAGCTTGTTTTTGTGTGTGACTTGACTTTTTGGATATTAGGTAAGGATTCTTAGGTTTAGAGCGTCACTATCATCTCATTTTGATTCCGTGGTATGTATTTTTTGATAGATGGAGAGGTGGAAATATACTCCTTTCAGGTTCAACAAGTTCTGTCTTAATTACTCATTTCATGTACAGAAGTGACTTTGTTTCCTTGACTTTTTCACCTGGTACCTTTCTGGGTCGAATACGTGAATATGTTAGAAGTTTTGATACTTTTATCAATGTTCAACTATATATGAGTTCTTATGTTCCAGATTTTCAGTGGGTATGCAGTGCTGCTTTATACTATTACCCTACAAAATTATGGTTCATCTATGTTTGCACTATTTTATTTGCATTTTGCATGTGTTACATTGTAACAATTCTTTAGAAGAACACAGTGGCTATCTTTACAGGCCTAGAGCTACACTGTACAGTAGTGGTGGTGGTGTGGTGTTTGCACTGTCTCCTGCATTGCAACAGCAGTGCAGTTGTGTACAGACAACAGTGTAGGGTGCCTATTGAAGCTAGCTATAGCCATAACAATACATGCAGTCTGTGCAGAACTCATGACAAGTAAATGGAATGGTTAAAGGAGCAAGTGGGGTCCAGGCCTACCTTGGCCGGGCAGGTCAACTCAGTAAATACAGTGCAGTTAATAAATGGGTCAGTCAGAAATGCCTATGCAATGTTACTGGTAGTCATTACTTACTGTCCATTTCTTTACTTCAGGACCTTTTTGGAGGATTGGCCTTTCACAATTCAAGTTTGAGTGGTAAAAGATAGAAAGCATTTATTCGTGAAAGATGTGAGTTAAGCTGAAAGCTATAATCATGAGCCCACAAGCGCTGTAAAGATAGCTAAACCATTTTGGATTGGCACTGATGTTCTTGTTAAAGAAAATATCTGGATGAGCATGGACAGCAGGAAGTGCTGTAAATCTAGCCTCTGAGTGAATCATTACGGTACCGTAAATAATAGCCATGTGTTAAAGGAATGCCAGATCTTTCACCACAAATACATTCACACCTAGATTTTGCTCTGATTTTGGGGTGCTCAACCTGGCTGTGTCCTATAAACTTTGAGTTATTCTTAATTAAATACTTTAATTGATTAATTATTATTATTATTATTTTAGGCACTATGATAAAGTGCATTACTTCACGTCCAGAAGATTGACCCAAAGAAATATTGTCATAGGCCTAATTACTGCTGTAACAAGTATCATTCATCATTGATCTCCCCTATTATTTTTATTTATAATTTTTTTTTTCATTCATTTATTTTCTAAGCTATTTCAGTGATACCGTTAAAAGTGTAACAATTCTTCTGCATACTTTAAACTAAAAGGAATATGATAATGGCTTTAACAACTCTGACAATCATGCACTAATATGAATCTTAGTGGCAAGAATAAGGTGGCATGTGCAGTTGTCATCATATTCTTCACCAGGAATGAAGGAGTCAGTTTGTCAGCTCAAATTCTGAGCCTCACAAATCAGGGCATTACATCTTCAGAAATTACTTTGGAGTTATAAATGTTCACTTGAATGAAATATGTTAGGAGTGAAAATTAGGAAGCGTGAATGCATCGTTTCAGATTTCAATAATCTTTGGATTAACCATTCAGACACCTAATGACAATCTTAACATTTAGTCTATGATAAAGTATCTTCAAATGGTTTCAGGATTAAACTTCAAGCAAGAGAAACAGCAGAATGGGATCGACATTGGATGACACCTTCCGTATCCTAATAGCTACTGATAATCATCTTGGCTATGCAGAAAAGGATCCTGAAAGAGGTAAGTAACAGTTCAGTTTGAATGGGATGTTATAAAGATATTTGGGAAATCATTATCTAATAAGAGACTTAAGAGAATCGACCCAAGTAAATCATTTCTAATCTCAATAAGATATTACAAGGTCAGTTTCAATAAAATATGAATATTTCAAAACTCCTCATATAAAGGAAAATAAGTCCATCTCAGGGACTGTACATGCACATTTGCATATGCAAATTAAAATAATCAAAATATGGCTAGAAATCACAGTTATCTTTTCATCCAATAGGAAATGACAGCTTTGAAACTTTTGAGGAAATTCTGAAAATGGCAGTAGAACAACAAGTGGACTTTATCCTGCTTGGTGGTGATTTGTTTCATGAGAATAAACCCTCCAGGCAGTGTCTTGTGAAATGCATGGAGCTTCTCCGCAAGTATACCTTTGGAGACAAGTAAGTAGGTTCTGAGAGACAATAGATAGTATATTTTGAACTGATTATTAGACAATTTAAAGATGAAATTTTTATTTGAAATAATTGTGTATATATATTGCCAGTTAAGAACGGTAAATTTTCTCATGCCCCATGTAATAGATATGCAGAATGAAATGATATCTAGGAATGTACTTTTTGCATGCATGTGTGTGTGTATGGTGAGTGTTTGTGTGTGTGTGTACATATATGTATATATGATTTCTTTCTTTTACTTAGGCCTGTTTGCTTTGAGTACATAAGTGATCCAACTGAGAACTTCAAGAATTCCAAGAACCCAATGGTCAACTTTCATGACCCAAATCTCAATGTTTCAATTCCTGTGTTTTCAATTCATGGCAACCATGATGATCCTTCAGGTAAGAAGCAGATCATAACAGGCATCATGATAAAAGGAAGGAATTTTCAAATGTTTGCAAAAGGAGTTATAACATAAACTGAGACTTGGCTTTAATGGACTATAATTGTTTGCAAATAATGGAGAGAGTGATTCATGATTGTATATTGCTAATTACTCAATGAGAAGAGAGAGAATGCAAAAAGATGGACTAAGGTTTTATTTCATATTATCTTTTCTGTCAAGAAAACATGTGTATATAGCTTGTTTTTAGTAATTGACTATAACTTGAAATTTAGAAATGAAGAATATCATACCATATATAGTAACACCCTATTGATATGTAAGACCTGAACTTGGAAGATGAAATTAATTTGATCTCTTACTCCCTGCAGGACTTGGTCAGTTTTGTGCTCTAGACATGCTTTCAACAGCTGGCTTAGTCAACTATTTTGGACGCACTGGAGACCTCAAGAACATCACCATCAGTCCTGTATTGCTGGAAAAAGGAACAAACAAATTGGCACTATTTGGTTTGTCATCCATCAAAGATGAGAGGCTCTTTAGATTGTTCAAAGAAAATAAGGTAAGATATCCTGAGTCTTTTGTCAGGATGATGATAGATAAAGGAAAGCATACAGGAAAATAGATTAGATAAGAGGCAACAAGAGAGAATCAAATAGAAATCCAAAGTTAGTGTTCTTTGAATTTAATAAAACATGAAATCGTCATGAATGAAATCTAAATTTGGATATGCGTTTTGACTGCACTATTATATTTTGAATTAGAGGGTGTAGTGTTTGCATGTCTTCAAGAATTTAATACAATTTTGTTATTAGGTTTATTATTTATCCTGCAGTATATTACTTTTTTTAGGTCAAGATGATGCGACCAAAGGAATTCCACGACGAATGGTTCAACATCATGGTGGTCCACCAGAACCACGCAAAACATGGCATGTCCAATTACCTCCCAGAAGCTTTCTTGGACCCTTTCCTTCATCTTGTCATCTGGGGTCATGAGCATGAATGTCTTATTCAACCACGACTCAGTGCTGATAATTCGTTCCATGTTGTACAACCAGGTGGGTCTTGTGCTTTAACTTTGTTCTCATTTTCCTAGTCTTCACTTTACTTTATTTTACTTTACTTTCCAAATGTGTATGAAGAGCTATTGGATATGTAGATATATAGTCATGTTCACATTCATTACATGTGCAACAAGAATGAAACGTGATATTCAATGTTTATAAATTTAGTCATGTGTGGTGAAAGGTCCTGGAAGTAATACGTTACATAATTTAACTTTGGTTACTGTTTTTCTATCTCATAGGAAGTTCAGTTGTAACTTCATTTTGTGCTGGTGAGGCTGTTGAAAAGCATGTTGCTCTACTTGAGGTGAATAATAAGCAGTTGTTTAATGTAACCCCTCTCAAGCTTGAGACTGTCCGGCCATTTGTATTTGATGTAAGTATAAGAATATATTGGTTGTTAAATTTCATTTCTGGAAAAGAATACATTTTATTTTAGTGATTCTTTATTATCATTATTGTACTTAATACTATACTTTATCATTCATATGTCTGTTACTAATTTTTAGCTTCTAGTCTTGAAGACTTTGTTGAAAAAGTGAATTAGCACATCTTGCT